ACGAGGCACTCTAAACATCCTAGCAGCTGCACTCTAAGGATAGTATCAGTAGCTGCGCCTAATAGATGGCATTATAACCGTGACAGTAGCGTTTAAAGGACAATACCGGCAGAAGCGCCCTATAAAGAATGTCACAATTCTGGCAGATGCAACTAAGTGATAATATTAGCAGTTGTGCTTGACAGATGTGTCATTAGCAACGATAACGAGGAATAGTTGATTCTTAGGGTAGATCCTTAAGAGTAAAGAAGATAATGGGGATGGGTAATTGGTTGATTGTTTGATGTTTAAACATAATAATTATATTATTGTGGGTTGAAAACCCTATGTACTCACCAGGTTTCCCAACCAGACCCACTCAAGATTATTTGTATCACAGGTGTCGATATGAAGCTACTTTTCACTGAGAGATTTAAAAGAGATGTAGATCACTAGTGTAAATGAATGTAAGTTTTGTTTATGCTTATGTTTCTGTATTGACAATGACATCCCAAATGTTTTAAAATGAATAAAAATACATTTCTTCGGAAATGCTTTGATGACATATTTATCATGTTTTACTGGGAATAAATTCTGCAACATTTTTATTAAAAGAAGTACTCTGATTTTTATAAAGCATAAACAAAATCGGTCTTTTCTGGCCGTGAAAATGGGGATGTCACAGGTTGGCAACATACCATAGATCCGATCAAATAATGGCATCATAAAACATCACAATTCATTTAACACATAAAAGCATGTTAGGCATTTTCCCTAAATTAGCTAGTGCTTGTGTCCATTCAGGTGTATCACCTAATATTTATTAGACACACTCCTCACGATCATCGCTTAGCATTCTATGTTTAAGTCTAGAAATAAATCCTTATTCCTAGTTCGTTTAAACTAATGCTCTGATACCAACTGTGACATCCCCATTTTTCACGGCTAGAAAAGACCGATTTTGTTTATGCTTTATAAAAATCAGGGTACTTGTTTTGATAAAAAATGTTGCGGAATTTGTTCCCAGTAAAACATGATAAATACGTTATCAAAGCATTTCCGAAGAAATGTATTTTTTATTCATTTTAAAACATTTGGGATGTCATTGTCAATACAAAAACATAAGCATAAACAGAACTTACATTCATTTACACTAGTGATCTACATCTCTTTAATCTCTCAGTGTAATGTAACTTCATATCGACACCTGTGATACAAATAAGCTTGAGTGGGTCAGGTTGGGAAACCTGGTGAGTACATAGGGTTTTCAACCCACAATAATATAATTATTATGTTTAATCGTCAAACAATTAACCCAATTACCCATCCCTATTATCTTCATTATTCTAAAGGGTCTACCCTAAGAATCATCAATCATGCATTCGTTCATTCCCAAGTCCATCGCTTCCAGGGTTCATATGACAGGCACTAAGTCCATAGCTGCCAATGCTCGTTCGTAAAGCACTAATTCCATAGCTGCTAAAGTTCATTCATCAGGTACTAAATCCATAGCTACCAGTGTTTATCTAATAGGTACTAAGTCCATAGCTACCAACGTTTATCTAACAGGTACTAAGTCCATAGCTACTAACATTTATTCGATAGGCACTAAGTCCATAGCTGCCAATGTTATTTGTTAGGCACTAAGTCTATAGCTGCTAATGTTCACTCATATCATATTTCATCTCTCATCATTCACCTACCCATGTTTTACCCAACATATTCGTAGATATAAATTACATATACAGTTTAAATTATTTAAAACATGTATAAAATCGTTCATCCAGCATAAATAGAAAGTGTACAGGTTATATGCACACATAGCACGTAATTTATATAAAATACTTCATATCTATGTATAAGATGAAAGTAACTATGCACTCACTTGTTAAGGCGGTGATTCCGAACTCAGACAACGCTTCGTTTCTTAAAAATAATTTCCTTCGACGAAACCTAGTATTATTACCACTAGATTTTAGTCTAATATTTACCGTGACTAATTATTATTATTATTATTATTATTATTATTATTATTATTATTGTTGTTGTTGTTGTTGGGTCTAGAGTGTTGCATCATATGGGCTAAGTGTTGATGTTTTGTTTACCTGGTTTGGGCCTGTCCAACCGTTGTTTATCATTAGGGTTAGCGTATATATTATGTATGCATGAATAGCTTTCAGGTGATCGTTCTCATTAATTGCTTTTGCATTGTAACCCTAAACACACCTCTACAGTCGAAGTTCTTCATCGAGCTCTTCTGAGGTGTGAGTTATTAATCATTTGACACCATTTGATCCATTCTTGTGTTCTTTGATTACTTCATTCTTGTTTTTCTGTTTAGAATCTATCGATCTATAACTCTTTATTCCCATCAATTGGTATCAGAGCAGGAGACTGTGTAATATAACGCATCTCTTCTGTTTGAAGAATCCATTAGGGTTTCCGCTTTTATCGAATATATAGAAGTCGTCTTCTTCTTGTCGACGGTGTATCTGGTGTTCGATAAAACCCTAGTTTCAACTTTACAAGTCTGATTCAAGCAGATTAAAAGAAGAATATTTTCATCATGTCACACGACGATTCTCAAGTCAATCCGATCAACAATTATTATTATTATTATTATTATTATTATTATTATTATTATTATTATATAAGCATTTAAACAATATTTTCCAACCACTATGTACAGACAGGGGCCAGACATAAAACACCGGAGGGCAGAACCATTTTGGCATATAGCACTTTTGAAATCCAACAACCCTATGCGGCCCTTTAAACCAGATTCTCCGTACCGCGAGTAGTTAAAAAGATATTATAACGACACTTATATAAGTCATAATAATAGTCCAAATATTTATTATAAGTTCATAATAACAATACTAATTTTAAATATAAGCTATATTAAAACAGGGTAAGCATAACTTACTTACAAGGGGGTTTTAGCTAGGAGTCGGGCTCTGCAGGGGCAGAACTTCGTTGCTGAATCTTTCTAAGAAAGATTCGTGCACCGCTTCAGTGCTCACCTTATACTAAAACTACAGAAAGAGAAGTCGAATCACCAGGGACCGAAATGCTCGGGGGATAAGAAGGGAAAGACTCTTGAATCAAGAGAATGGTGCAAGAAATATGAGAGGTAGAGGCTCTTATTTGTAGTGATTGGATTTTCAAAAACTACCCTCCATAGTTACTTAATGACATTATAGTTATATAAATGACTAAACACCCCTTTATAATACTATTTTAAATAGATTTAATGATATTTGTACTAAACTAATGTCGAAAGTACTCAACACTAGTCTTATAACGACCGCATCGTCGATACCTTTCTAACGATATATACATATGTATATGTATGTATACGTATATATGATTTACACTTTATTTTAATACGTAAATGTGCTATTAAAAATTATAACTCGTTCATACGAACTTCGTTTTTTACGCTATTTATATCCACGCACAGGCGGAGACGTACTCTACAACTTTCGTTTAAACTCCGTCGGCTAATTTTGACTTTATTTTTAAAGTTATATTTTTAACAGGCCGAGACAGGAAAAATTTCGTTAAAAATTCATAACTTCTTCATCCGACGTCCGTTTTCGTCTGTCTTTTTACCGTTGCGCTACTATTAATGAGATATTCAATTCTCATTTAGGTTGCGTTGGCCAAAAATCGATCAATTTAAAATTCGAATTTCGGGTTGTGCACTGCTATGCATAATCTTAGAAAAATCATAACTTCCTCATACGAAGTCAGATTTGCGCGTTTTTTTATGCATGCTCTCGGTTTAACGTATGCTATGAATTTTGTTTAGATCGCTAAGGCTAAAAAGCACTTTATCATAAACTCGCTTTTTACGTCACGCAGTGTCGTGCCGGTTTTGCCGTAAAACTTCGACATGCCATAACTTCTTCGTTATAACTCGGATTTCGGCATTCTTTATATGTACGGAATCCTTGTGAAATATTCTACAACTTTTATTAAGACTATTCATTCTAAATAATCTTCTATCAAAAAGTCGTTTTCAACACTTATTGTCTCTTAATTGACTAGCCCGAATCTACGAGCGTTACACAATGATCCATAAAGTTGCCAACTTTATGGAGTCCAACTACTCAAACTATACAAATCTTGAAGAACAATGCAAAGAAACCTAGATTTAGAAGCATGAAACATGAAGGTTGAAACTTAAAGACGCAAGGGTCCAAAAGATGAGCTAGAAAGTGGAGGATGAGCTTGCTTGTTGGATCTTCACATAATGGATGCCTTATTCTTCTTCTTCTCACCAAAAATCACCACAAAACTTCAAAAACTCAACAATGGTGGCTATGGGTGCTTCTAGGCTGAAAGGGAGGTATGAAGGTTGAGGGTGTGCAAACCCTAGCCAGCACATCCCTTAAATAAGACCCAAAACCGCAAAATTAGAGTTTTGCACTTTGGCGGTCACCACGTTGCGGCAAGACTCTTGCCAAGTCGTGGTGCGCATGAAAGGTGTCCGTTTCCTTTGGCTATGACCACGTCGTGGTGCATCCTTCACCACGTCGTGACCACCACAAAAACCACAATTAAAGACTTTAATTACCTAAACTCAAGATAATTATTACCTAGAATTGGTGTTACAATAGCCTTTTAGCTAAGATGATGTGGTGCATGATTCTCTTTGCGGACAAATTAGACTGGAGGGAGTGGGGTGCGGTTTCAGCTGATGTGGCTCTGAAACACCGCCCCCTCTATGCGGTTTCGAAGTGCGGTTTGGGGAGTGTGGCAAGAATCGGGAGCGTTCCCTTTCTCTCTCTGTCTTCCTCTATCTCTCTATCTCTCTCTTCTTTCCATTTAATACCATCCCTTGGGTGTGGTAAAAAAGTATGGTAAAAGGATGGAGTGTGGCACCATCTCTCTAGCGTTGTATCCTTCTTTATTTCTTCTTTTTTCTTTTTTCTTTTTGTGACGACCACACTTGAGATGCGGTGGATGAAGCGGTGGAGGGGTAACGAAGTGGCCTATATATTTCAAGTGATAAAACTCATCGATATTTTGAAATTATTTCAAGCTTTTTAATGAAATATCCTTATCACATCGACTTATCTTTCGGGTCGGGTTGTTGCAACAACCGGAACATACAATACCAAATTACATGGTCCAATTCCAAAATCCCAATAACACCAAGCAAATTGGGTGCAATTCCATTCGGTTTTACAATTCTGGATAATTATCGTATCAGGTACAACGCTAAGAACCCTAAAACAACGATTTCCCCTGGGTTGTTTGAGCTCTTAAACTCTCACTTCACCTATTTTCATGATCGATTCACCCTTCACGTGCTTATCTTTCAATACTTAGGATTCGACCTCTTCTATCGCTTGATAACATCTGCAAAGGGGTAAACAATTTTTTGTTTGATTCGCTTTCCATATATGATCAACAAATTATTAACACTATCTTAACACAACCATTTTCGTTGACCTAATTCTGTTAATGCCGGTTTTAAGAATTTCAATCTAGTTTCCAGAATTGGAGTACGTCGTTTTACATTTTAATGGTCCTGTAAAATTATCATCTCACTGCTTAATTTGACAGATTCATCGAGTTTGATAAGTAATTGGATTCATCTTCATAACTATTGTTCTTGCTGATTATCTCTTATGTTTTGGATTCCGAGTACAGAAAGATCAAAGTTTGTTCTCCATGGAAGGATTAGGGGCTGATTCCACCTCCCCAATGGCACCAGTAGCAAAATGGAAAAGTGAATTCTCAAGAGTGTTCCAGTTTTATCTTGACAAATCGACACCTCTTCCTGTTCATAGGTGGCTAGGGACACTCGGTGTTGCATCCATTTACGTGTTGAGAGTCTATTACCTCGAAGGGTTTTACATCATCTCTTATGGACTTGGAATTTACATCTTAAACCTGTTAATCGGATTCCTATCACCAAAAGTTGATCCAGAACTTGAAGTTTTAGATGGAGCCTCACTTCCCACAAAAGAATCCGATGAATTTAGGCCTTTCATTCGTCGTCTTCCAGAGTTCAAGTTTTGGTGAGTTTAGTTTTAGTTACATAATTGGAGTGGTGTTATTTGAAAAAAAATGGTCAAAGGGTTTGAAACTTTGAATCTTATGCCAGCAACAGTGTGGGCCGATCAGGGATTGCTGGAAGAATAAGTTAAAAGTTTTCTCAATCACATAAAAGTAACCGATTTCTTGAATGTTGGATTCTCATATGTATATAGAGATCTTGTTGGAAGCTGATTTTTTTTTTTTTTTTGAAAATTGTAGGTATGCAATCACAAAGGCTTTCATGGTAGCTTTCTTGATGACATTCTTTTCTCTATTTGATGTTCCTGTTTTCTGGCCAATTCTGCTTTGCTATTGGATCGTTTTATTCGCACTCACAATGAAACGCCAAATCATGCACATGATTAAATACAAATATGTCCCATTTACCACTGGGAAACAGGTAATAATCAAATTATTACCATAGACTTAAAGTTAGTTAACTCGTTTTTTTTTTTTTTATTAAATATAAATATAAAAATTATATTTAATTTTTTTAACAGAAATACGGTGGAAGGAAGTCACCTGGAGGTAGTGCTGGTGGTTCACCCATTCACCGAGGTTGAAGAAGCAGTTGAGTAGGGTTCAAGATAGGATTAGGAGTAACTTTTTTTTTTCTTCTTTTTCTTTTTTTATAAAAGTATCCCTCGTTTATAACACTTTAGAAACAAAAAAATCTGTTCCCTTTTAAGATGACATGATTTCCTAATAATAATAATACTGTCTGCTGGCTTATTTGCAATATTTGTATCATTTCATAGGTTTGTTTTTTGTTTGACAACTCATAGTGTCATGTTTGTTACAGAATACTTTGTTTGATTTGTATTGTACTAACATCAAATAGGAAAAAAATTGTAGTTTTTGTCTGAAGGTGGAAGATAGTTTGTGTAAAAAGACGTAAATACCCTTCTTATATGTGTTAGTGTTGTGTAAAAAGTGTACGAGATGCTATGGAGACTTTTTCATACATGTATGTATCTGATTGGTACAACCACTTTTCAACTACCAACGATAGAAAGTGAGTGTACTACTTTTTTTCATTTTCAAAAATTATTCTTAATTGAGTAGTTGTTTTTAAATTATCATTTCTTACAACTAATCTCATTATATTAGTCATGGTCTCTCTACTCTTTCCTTAAAGATGGAATTGTCGGATCCAGAGCTATGTACAAGTCCAAATACAAGATGTGCAAGTCACTATAACAACATTGGTTTGGATTTGGGAATTTCATTTCTAGAAAAAAGAAACCATCTTTTTCAAAGGGTCTTCAAATTAGACACCATTTTGAAGATTTTGTCATATAAAACCATCCAACAAAATTTTCATACATATCTTGTTGATGAAAATGTTGGGTAGAACCTTTCTTGTTATATTGTTCTTTTGGGCAGCTCTCACTATCATCACTCCTATTCTTGTTCGTTTGTCTGCTTCTGCAAAACCCTTGAATTATAACGGTATGTATATACTTTTTTTTTTTGACATGATTGACAAAATCTTACATACTTCATCATTTTGGAATTGGATTCTGTTTTGCTTTCATGAAATGTGCATTTTTGACATAAGTTTTTCGATGCTATCATGTTATGTTAGGGGAAATAAAGAATAATGGTAGCCAGAGCCGTAAAGTTATCAGTTTATTGTCCCGAAAAGCACTTGGATCTATCACACATTCTCAGTCTGTATCAATATCAATACCCACACCCGCACCAGCACCCATATCAATATCAGTATCAGTGCCAACACCTACACCAACAAGGAAGGTGATGCCCATACTTGAACATGAAACATCACTTGTGAATTCTCACATCCTTGCTGCTAAAACAAGCATACAGGATCTAGCAACTTTCTTCCACGCCAAAAAGCAAAGTATCATAATGTGAAACCATATGAAATACTCATGATCAACCCATTGGTTTGTGTTGTATAGTTGTAAAACGAATCAAGTAGATAAATACTTATTCATGGAAAAACGGTAGATAACAAGAAAGAGGGGTTCTTAGGACCCTTAAAGAAGATATATATTTACATAACTTGTGACAAGTGTTATGACCAAAACAATAGGAATGATGTAAGTCCTAGTGATGGTATATTTAAAGCTCATGATTGTTGCTTCAAGATGAAGTAATTTTATTGAACAATAATGAATCTTTTTAACTTTGTGTCTATATATTAAGGGAATGTTTAGGATTTGTATTTTGCATAAAAGTAGTATTTAGTTGTGCTATAGAAGTATTTCGTTGTATGTTCATATGTATTTGAGTTATATTATTGGCATATTTGAGTTATATTATTGGCATACTTGTCAGGTGCAGCCCTTGCCCTCTAAAACATCGATTTCTGATTCTAACATTGAGTACATAACACTGGTGAAAACGATTATTAGATAACTAATTAATTTGTATGTATCCAACAAGTCACTTTTTACATTTTTATGTCCTGAAACAACGTAATAAAGTTGCTCAAAATAGGGTACTATGATGTTCTATTGCAGATTTATAAGTTTTCCCTCATTAGCCAATTTGTTCTTTTGACAAATTTGTCATAAGTTGTTTCTTTTGACGAATTAGGTCTATGGCTTATTATTATTATAAAATTGCTTTTGTAATGTTTGTCTTATTTATTTATTGAGTAAATTACACGAATGGTCCCTATGGTTTGGGGTAATTTGCGCGTTTGGTCCCTAACTTATTTTTTTTAACTCGGAAGGTCCCTACTGTTTGTTTTTGTTACGCGCTTGGTCTCTGTCTTACCTAAAAAGACTATTTTGTCCTTGGTTTTTTAATTTATTTAAATAAACACAGTCCCAACCCCACCCCTCACCTTACCTTACCTACCCCACAAATTTTCCCTATTTAAATAATAGTTTTTTTAGGTAAGACAGGGACCAAACGCGTAACAAAAACAAACAGTAGGGACCAAACGTGTAACAAAAACAAACAGTAGGAACCTTTCGAGTTAAAAAAATAAGTTAGGGACCAAATGCGCAAATTACCCCAAACCATAGGGACCATTCGTGTAATTTACTCTTATTTATTTATTAGGGAGGAGGGAGTCATTCCCTCCAACCCATTGAACCACTCACATCAGTTTTTGTCTTTTTTTTTTCTTCATCTTTCCCAACCCACAACACACGAAAATCCTATCTTTCTCAACTCACTCAATTAAAAAAAATACAAAACAACTAAGATACAAGTCTTAAAACACACGGTACAAGAGAAATTGAGAGGGAGAAAGTAGATAGAGAGGATGAAGCGGATTAACGAAACCAATTAAACAACCCACCATTCTCAACCCATTAAAGAGGGAGTGGTATTTTGGAGGTACCAACGTTAACTTTATTGCTAATTAAGATTTTATCTTAATTGTTTTGTATTTTTTTTTTAATTGAATGGGTTGAATGAGTTGAAAAAGATAGGATTTCCATGTGTTATGGGTTGCGAAAGATGAAGAAAAATAAAAGAAAAAAAATGATTTGGCAGTGGGTTGAGTTGGTTCGGAGGGAATGACTCATTCCTCCCTTACAAGTTAGATTTAGTTGAAACAAATTTTTTTATTATTTTTTAATATCTTGTTACATTCTTTTTAAATTTCGCTATATACAACTTTTTCTTCAAATCGTTATTTTTAAACTAGTTTTTATGGATTTATTTTTTGGACGGCGACACAGAATTCATCAAGGACTTCGGCCGATCAGTCTTATCGGCTGTCTATATATCGAAAATGTTATATTTAGAAGCTACTACAAGTAATTTTATTTTAATTATTGAGTTATTATAATTTTTTTTTGATGAAATTTGTGTATTTTAAGTGTCTTTTTATCCCTCTCGCCTCAGACACAAAACATGTCTGAAATGACCCTGATTGTATCGATGATTGAAAGATTATGGTTGATAAATAACACTTCGAGGCAAATTTATAAACGCACATACTCAAGAAAAAAAACACTCTAAGACAAATTAATAAAAATGAATTACTAAATAAGATAGAGCATATAAGCATCCTATAACAAGTCACAAGGACCTATTTTAAACAACTTCCGTAGATGCTTATATCTACATAACCTTAAAATTCAAAACGTATCAAACGAGTACATGTATAATAGTTGGTTAGCAAATAACAACAGCGATGCTAGGTATAAGAAGTGGCGAGGCTAAGTATAAGAAAAGTGGGTCTTAAGACCCACCTAATTTTTTTGATTTATCTAAAATTTCTATAGAAATTTTTTTAGGGATCTACCTTAAAAAAGAAAAATTATGACTTACCTTGCCCATAAAAATCCAAAATCTTTGAACTTTTATAGAAAAAAAAAAATATATAGAAAAATTAATGAACAATATGGTTTTCTATTCTAGACTCTGTAAGTAACAAATAATAATATTAACCCTAAGAACGACGCAACCTTGCAACCACTTTCAAGAAAAAGCCATGTTATCAAGTTCTTTCAAGATTGTTTGCAAGCCCTATCATCTTTCAATATTTATTTTAAAATAATTTTATTTTATATAATTACCTTACTATATATTTTATATTTTATATCACGTTATTTAGGTGTAAATTATTAAACTAATACTTTAATATTAATATTTCATGAGTGTTGTAAAATTTTAAATATTAAAAAAATACGTATAAAATAAAGAAAATCTCCAAAAAAATCCAAATATTTTGGATTAGTTTATGAAATAGTTCCAAATTAATATTTTTTTACAAAAAAGTGAACTAGTAAAATATTGCATTATCATCATTTTTCCCGGTTCTGCCGCTAACAAATTAATTTGGGATTATTTCGTAAACTAACCTAAAATATTAGGATTTTTCTGCAAAAACCTTTATTTTTATTTTTATTATTTTATTGAAAGTCAAATAAATATATTATTTTTTAAATTTGTTATTATTAATATTATTAAATAAATGCATATATAAATGTAATTTAAGTACATATTTATACATATTAAAACGTATTTATACATAAAAAAATACATATAAATATAAGAAATACATATGAAAAACGTATTTATATATTTTTATACATTAAAAACGTTTTTAAAGTTCCTTTTCATTTAAACGTATATATACATTGTCGTTGTTGAGAAAAGAACTGGATGATGATAGAAATTATCGGTACAACGAGTAGACCATGTCATGCTTAAGTATGATGGACTAGAAATATATGGTGGACAAAAAGACCATACACAACTTGCCTAAGTATAGTGGACAGACGACCATACTCAGACCAGACCATGCTTAAGTATGGTGGACAGACGATCATATTTGATCAGAATATTAAATATTTGATCAGATAAAGTAACCAAAAGTACGTCTCTTCGGTAAAGAGAATATCGGAGATCAATTTTCAAAACACTTAAGATAAGGAGTGTCTTCACATCAATCTTCATCACCATCTTCACATAAGCCCATATAATCTTCGTATCATCAAAAACCTATCTTTACATGTATAAAAACATTTAAGTAAAAAAAGAACTTTAAAAATATTTTTTATACATGTAAAGATAAGTTTTTATGATACGAAGATTGTGTGGGCTTATGTGAAGATGGTGATGAAGATTAATGTGAAGACACTCATGACCTTAAGTGTTTTGAAGATTGATCTTCAGTATTCTCTTTACCGAAGAGACGTACTTTTGGTTACTTTATCTGATTAAATCTTTTATATAGATCGTGTCAGTTAGGCATGTTGAGTATGGTTGTCTACTCACCATACTTAAGTATGGCTTGGTATGATTATGATCGTCTGTCCACCATACTTAGGCATGTTGAGTATGGTCTTCTGTCCACCATACATTTCTAGTCCACCATACTTAAGCATGGCTTGGTCCACCATACTTAAACATGTCATGGTTTGTTCGTTGTACTGACATGTTCTATCATCATCCAGTTCTTTTCTCAACAACATATAAATACGTTTAAATGAAAGAAGAACTTTAAAAATGTTTTAAAGGTATAAAATATATGAATACGTTTTTCATATGTATTTATTATATTCATACATATTTTTTATATATAAATACATTTTTATATGTATAATATGTATTTAAAATATATTTATATATGCGTTTATTTAATAATATTAATAATAACAAATTTAAAAGATAATATATTTATTTGAGTTTTCAATAAAATAATAAAAATAAAAATAAAGGTTTATGCTGAAAAGTCTCAATATTTTGGATCGGTTTACGAAATAGTTCCAAATTAATTTGTTACCGATGGAACCGAAAAAAAAGTGTCAGAATGCAACATTTTATCGGTTTTTAGGATTTTTTTTTTTTGTAAAAAAGGATAATAATTTGGGAGTATTTTCTTAATCTAACCCAAAATATTGGGATTTTTTTGAAAATTTCTCTATAAAATAATGTAAGTATTACACTGATGTAAAATATAATTGCAAAAGCTCACATATCACAGTTAAAAGACAACAACATTCCACGAATATGGATGATCTAACTCTCTATAAACCTTAAATTTCTTCATCATTATCCATTTTGATCAAGGATAGTGAGAGCATAAATACTTAATATACTCCACATTTTAACATTCTTATGAACATTAACAATCGCAATACAAATATGGTATTTTGCTTAAGGGAAATGACTTAGGAGGGTAACAAAATGTTGGTTTTGTTCACATTTGGCCCCTTTCCTTTTTTTTGTACACAATATACCATCAAACTTATTGGTTGTGTTCACAATAACCTTTTTGACCGACTATCACCTGTTACTCAAGGTTTTCGGTGACTTTGTTCTCTCCGGCGACTCTCCAGTCACCTTCTCCGGCAAAACATGAATATTTCGACGAGTTCTTGGCAAATCATATATGTGATATTGTTTTTCAAATATGAATCTTCTTGAACATTGTCGTATCATAACCCGCAGACATCAAAAACTAAAAACTGAAATCGTGTTTGTGTGTGAGAAATCAAAAACTGAAATTGTTTTTTAGGGTTTTCATTTGAACCATATGGCAAAATCGAGCTTAACGAAGAACATTTTCGACAAATTGTTTCCAGATTTGAAGAACACAATCCATATCCAAAATCGAGCTTCAAAATCCAAGATCGAGATCAAAAATCGCAAGTGGAAGCTTCATTGTTCTTGTTAATGGAGGAATAAATGGTGTAACGTCTCAAAAACAGTGATAAATTTTTCATTTTCAAATTC